ATCTATATAATAGAACTCAAGCATGCACATTACATCTGTGATATGCAGATCATAAACATCATCTGGGTACAATAATCCATGCCTTACTAATTCGATCACTTCGTTGTCCATACCACTATCGTTACTTGAGTCATCTGAAAAATCTTCTATTTCCATCAATTCTTGGTCATCTTCCTCATGTGCTACTTCTACCTCCATGTAATCGTTTGGTGGTATCATTTCTTCAATGTTCATTAACGAAAGTTACATTTTCACAATCACCTGGTTGCATTAAATCTCACCACTGACGAGGTGTATCAAAATCTTTACAATATATATGCCGAAACTAATGGGTGTGGTCTATTTTTTCGCAAATGTTGCAGATATCGTTTGATTTCGCGACGAGATCTCGCTGCTGTGCATTGGCGCTTGATCAAAATGCTTAATTGCACTTTTTAACATATGTTCGATGACTGCGAGACAATTAGATTGAAAGAATATTATATTACGCGAATCTAATGTATCACAGCTGCCGTACATCGGCGCTTGTGCAAAAATGCTAAATTGCATTTTTAACACGTTCGGTGATCTTGTAACCGGAATCAGTGCTCGTTTCTATAAAATCGACAATATGATAATCCCTCTTGATATGACCATCGGACTTTTTTCCCCGAAGACCCTTTTCGTCAGCGCACTTATCGTACGCTCGCACGGTTCTTGATATGCCGACTCTAAGTGCCAATTTTATTTTAGATATTCTATCCAAACGAGACTGACCTAAGTACGTTCGTACAACGACAATGAACCTTACCCTTCTCGTCTTAGGTAAATGTTAGACTTACTGCGGTCGCCACCCTGTTTAACCCTCAACAGGGAAGGTAGTTTTTCTCGGATCAGCCGCCCAGGTTTACCGGATCCTCGTCCTTTCTTCTGGTTGGCGGCAGTTGACGATATTCTTGTTTTATGAGTTCGGAATGTGAGCGCACGCGACTTTTGTGAGGTCCGTAAAAGAATTAGACTTTGTTCGGTGAAATGTTTATAATATT